TCATTTGAGAGTATGCCTAGTTATATCGAGTGGTCTAGGACGCGTTTTTGAATGTACGAAGACAGATCGTACTGCGTATGACCTCTAGAGGACTGGCAGGAAAGGGTGTGTATTCGTGTATCAAATACGTTCATCTGAAAATACACTTTGAGAAGTAGATAAAATGTCACGTATATATATATGCATATGTGCTTATTTCAAACAGGTGATGCATATGTGCTTATTTCACAGACAGGTACATGACATCAACATACATATGGACCTATTTCACACCCGTACACATGCACCTGTCTCTGCTTTTGACGGGGTACATGCATACAAATACATATATACATGTATACAAACATATGCATACATTCATGCATTCATACACAATGCATATAATACCGAGTATATATAGATGGCTTTTAGTGGGTCCCGCTAATGGAGGACTTGAAGGCTGAGGTCAGCGCAAAGTCAGCTCAAAGTTATTGAAAACACATATTCGCATACTTCAATTTTAATATAGATGTTTGTGCGCACGTCTGAATGTGCCTTTCTTGTTTCTTGGATAGATACGTACATGTATACTTAGTAGTCACATATGTCCGCACAACATTATACATACTAGATTTTCGTCTCCTAGATGCTCGTATTCAGCACCATGGTGCCTACATTTGACAAACTCACATACAGGAAGTGAAAGGTCAACTCAAAGGGAAGGACCGTGACACTCTCGAGGAGTATTTACGAAATGCTGATTTGACAAACAGTTATGTACGCAATGTCATGGGCTTCTGCCTGGAGCACAGTGCGGCAGCAGAGGAGGTAGGTTTATTGTTTAGTTAGATGTACTCGGGTATTGTGATATGCAATAGTACTTTTATTACATTCAGGCCGCTTGTGCATCGTAGCATACAAACGTAGATGTCTTGTATATATATATATGTATATATGTATTGTTTGTGTACTTACATACAGATATTTGTATTAATTCGTGTAGATATACAAATATATATTTGTATTTAATTGGATTCATATTTTCACTGCCTACTCCTGGCATCACCGTTTAGCTCACGCTGCTACGATTTCGTCTTCCTTCGCACATCTGATGATTCACGCGGCAGCATGTATCACTGTTTCTAAAAACCCTCTTACTTAAATAGAATCAAACAGATGAGGTCCTTTTAGAGGATAAGAAAAGTGTTTCCATTGATCGACAGTAAACAATGTAGATTTTCAGTGTATTCTTCTATCAATGCGCCTACATCAAATCTTTCTAATACCTTTATGCGCGTTATAATATACTGTTTCGATATGTAATTTGAGTCCTAATACACTCTTCTTTTGCTTTATTTGAGCTTAGACTTGTTGTATTACCTGTGCTGACACTTTATTCGACCCCGACGTAACAGATCGTGGAAGTGCTAACCGATTCGCTGAGTATCCCGCAGACGCCCATCCCCACCAAGATTGCAAGACTGTATATAGTGAGCGATGTTTTGCACAACACAACTGTGAAAGGTTTGTTGTTTTGCCAGTCGTGTCACACATCATCGTTCCGCTGCTAGCGTTGTTTAGTACATACTTTTATCTCGTAGATAGTGAGCGATGTTTTGCACAATACAGCTGTGGGGATTTTGTTGCTTTACCAGTCGTTTGGTACTAACCAGGATCGCAAGTGTGTGTATAGTGAGCGATGTTTTATACAGCACAACTGTGAAAGGTATACTGCTCTACCAATCGTCTAGTACCAACATTGTGTGATACACGCACGTTTATGTGGTTGTTGTTTAACCAGCCGTTGCATACCAGTAAGCTCAAGTGTAGACACATTTACTCGAGCATTCATTACTTTTGCCATTTGAAGTCACAGACATTTTTGGCATAGTGCAAGCATTCTTTGGTGCAGACCCTTTCACATGAAGATTCAGTGGATGTAGTCTATGGTACATGCAGTTGGCATTGCTGAGTTCTTTCTTTTAATGTAGCATTCTTATAGTTCTCTAATATATACTTCTTCTGATGCGTTGATATGCGTCATCCAGTATAAGAGTGCTTAATCGTTTTTAGCAGCATTCTGTAGTGGAGGTACGATGTAGTTTTGGTACAGATGCGTTGGCATAATAATTCAGTATATGAGCGTTGACCCTGTGGCTCACACTTAGGTAGAATGTGTGAGCTACGTCATCCAGTATGATTTGCCTGTTTTCTTATATGCATTTTATGTCACAAAGTGTACTTATGTTTTAAAGTGTATCTTCTATTTTTCATAGCTGACATGAAATTATCTGTAATGGACATTCCATGTTCTGTAGTGTAGTTTCTTACTCATAAATGTTTTATCTCAAATCAACATTTGCAGGTGCTTCTTTCTTCCGAAGTTCATTCGAAAGCCAACTGCCCGGAATAATGTCACAATTGAACATGGCCCTCAATTCAATCACCGGTCGCATAAGGGCAGAGTACTTCAAGGTATTGAAACGCATTAACTCTCATTGTCTTTCTGCTCGACTAAATATACCTATGTATCTCTGCGTATATATTCATATTTTCCATATTACTAGATGAGCAACACATCGATGTATGTATCTGTTTGCGCTTAGACTTCTTGCATATGCAGAGTATCGACTTCTTTGTATGTTTCGATGTCAACCAAAATATTTCTGATAGGTTCTGTGCCAGCTAGTGCTTTAAAATGCTTGGTCATGTTTTAGTTGTGATGGTTGAAACGCTCACACCCAGACTTCCATTAAAAACACACACGTACTTAACCGCAAATTATAGCACCTGCCCATGACTTGACCATGTGTCGAAGCTTGCGTTCGCTATACACCAGACATATACTTCTTTTTAATACGTGCACCACAGAAACGGGTCCGAATCGTTCGCAGAGCCTAGGAGTTGTCGTCTCAAAGTACATTCACGTCTATGAAATCACTCAATACGAAGCTTTGGTACACACCACCTACACACGTTCACGTCTTAAGCAACGGGCCAGATTCAGTAGTACCTGCTTTCCCACTCTCACTCTTCGTTTTTCCTGCCACAGGACCGGTGAGATGGTCTCATATCAGACCTCTGTATATCCCATGTGCTCACCCTCACATTTTTCGTAGTGCTTACCACAGGAACGTGTGTTGAACGTTACTACAGCCTGGAAAATATGGGCTCTGTATCCATACACATATTTGAACAGGTTGAAGGAGCCGTTCTTGTATATACTCCTACTCACCCTCATATCCTTCTTATTGCTTGCTATAGAAACGTGTGTTGACAGTCATAACAGACTGAGAGCGATGGCCTCTGTATACATGTTCATATTTGAACACGTTGAAGGAGATGTTCTTGTATACCCCACCTACCCATACTCACATTGTTCGTTATACCTACCACAGAAACGTGTTTTGAACGTTATAGCAGCCTGGGAGAGATGGTCTCTTTATCCATACACATATCTGAATACGTTGAAGGAGAAGTTTCTGTACATTCCGCCCAGGCCAGAGGACTCGTCCGCACCATTAAGCGAGGTAGCATCCACCGATGCCGTGCATGAATCACGACAAAGTAAAGGTGTGTGAGTGCGAACAAACTTAGATAACAACATACTAGGTTGCTCCTTGTGTTTTAACGCTTTTGTTATCTTGTGACTTTTGTTATATATATAGATCAACCTGTACTACTATGTAGATAAATGTACATGTATAAAATCCATAGATACAGTTAAACACAATGATCAGAGGACTCGATCGCACCTCTAATTGGCGTAGCATCCACCAATACGGTACATGAATCACATCAAAGTACAAATATTTGAGTGCACATACTCTTGAGGTATTAGCGTACTACGTCATGTATATAAGTTATATGTTATACACCTGTGTGTACTATACATTCAATTTGTGGGTCGATTGCTAATTAGTATGTAAGTGTAAGTATCAAAAGCCGACGCAACGTGTGTATTATAACATGGCTATGCATAAATTCATCGTATGGATCCAACCATTTCTAGTATATTCACTATTCGTTGACACAAATGCGCTCGATAGCTAGCATCGAACCCCACGTGAAAATGTGGTGCTTAAGTTCTGTAGGAGTTTCCACATCACATACCATACACCTGCGTCGCTTTTCGAAGAGGAATCGCTATGGTTTACAGGCCTATAAATCTATTTTTGCTGTTCATATTCCGGTGACATGTATCGAGTCTCGGGTATACATCATACCCGATACCGGCGGATACGTTGTCTTTGCTTGCAAGTATCTAAATGAAGTATCTTTACTTGCATACATACCATATGTTTCTTGCTCCAGTATCAACACTGGTTGTGATTGCTGCATCGTTTATAGATATTTTAGAAGTCGCAGTCGCTTTTATGATGCATTACACTAGTTTGTATCACCGGTTATTATTCTCCGCTGCGTATCAGCTACCCCCCATCGTACCCAATAGAATAGTTGGTCTTAATGTGCTGCATCGCTTCTCTCTCAATTGTGAGCTTAGCTATAGATCGTGTATCCAATAATCAATCGTATGACCAATGTACTGAACAATTTCATTCAGCGTGCACCTTTTGCGCAATTCATGAGTATCTCGCATAGTGACAATATTCCAATCCCTGTACACTAACATCGTGCAACACGTAGTCGAGCTACTAGCACTGACAATGCCAAATCGATACACAGCGGCATTCCGATGGCGCTATTAGCATTATTGAGCATCGTTCTGAATACCAGTTACATTACATTGGTTTTGATCACATCCTACCCAAATATTGACGCCACACTAATCTAATCCCAAGACAGCAATCAAATCCCATCATACTATTTTGATTTCACCACATATTTTCCAATCCGTATAATTTGATTTAATCTCATCACGCTGTTGTAAACTTATCACATGAATTAAATCTCATAAATTCATTCTAATCCCATCGCACTCTAATCCCATCACACTAATTTACTCTCATCACATTAATCTAACCTCACTCAAATTAATCTCGTCACATTAATCCCATACCTAATTTTATCTCATCACATTATTCTAATCCCATAACATTAATTTATCCTCGTCACATTTTTGTCAAAGTAACCATTTCCTATTACACTAATTTAATCCCATTACTTAATCTGACCCCATCACGCTAATTTAATCTCATCACATTTTTAAACTAATCCCATCACTTCACGTAAATCTAATCCCATCACACTAATTTCGTCGATGGTACAGATGACCTAGTATCGCCGGCTTCAATGCAAGAACCAAACACGGCGGAACCCCAACGGTTGCACTCACTCATCCCTCCTAAAGCTGCAACTAAGGCTGGTTTCAAACCAATTGGATTCAGGCCGATAGGAAACAGTAGCACAACAGATACGGAACCAACTTCTACAAGTATGTACGTCTTATATAGACGATTAGTATCGATATCTCTGTATGAGTTAAATAAGCATCTCTGTACGACTTATAGAGTATCATCCGACAAGCTTCCCTGTGAGCTAATGTTAACAGTGGGTTAGTGGTTCGATCAGGTACAAGTCGATAAAACAAGGTCCAACAGAGTCTAGACCAGCGTCTACATGTATGTACGCGTTCTAAAGATAGATTTGCTTTTACATATATTTGATATGTCTATCGTACAAAACCTAAACTTGAAGATATGTTTCATTGATACATCATTGCTTTTCGTTGTGCGAAGGAGCGCAAAAACGAGCAGCTGATGACACGCCCGAGGAACCTGAGAAGAAAGTCAGGATACAATCGAAATGGGAGTGAAGTTGATGTGCTGTAGGCAATAAAGCATGGATCGGGGTCTTGGTGTGAATCTAATCCATTTGAAAAAGCAAGGGGATGGTGCGTTTCATATCTACAAATCATTTGGAGTAGTCACTAAATGTGTTATCGATATTTAGATAGAATCATTTCGCTTAGCAATTGTATTTATCTTCCTTAAACACGGATCATTTCGAATAGCAAGTAGTTGTGTGTATTTCTGTTGTGAGGCGTCATTTAAACGCTGACGCTCTCTTATGGTCTCGATTTATAGTGACAATTACTTCTGTGAGGTACCTCGATTATGACAGTTTGGGTTGCGAAAGATTGCTAACCTATATACTGCGTATATCCGATGACAACTCGAAGCCAATGGAGATCAAAATATATGAACACTACGAACGCTCTTGGGGCGCATCTCGATTCGACGTCATGCAAAAGGGAATTATGAACCTCTTTTAAAGTACACCTCGATCCGAAGACATTTATGGATGGGGACGATAATCATCTCAGAAATAGCGTCGCAACCCAGTCATGATCATATTTACTGTGTACAAACCCATAGCCTTCTAAAGAGAGGTCAAACAAGGGCCTTTTTTGTAGTTTCATGCCGCTATGATAAAAATACATGACTCTCTGAAATTCAGGAATTGTCGCTGGAAAAAATCCATACTCCATAGGACAAAATTATTTCGAAGAGACGCAAATATGATATTTATTCTTACGGTTGTACATACTGCTGCCTGCAGCGGTGCCGCGGGAAGCCCTGCCTGCAGGAGTCCAAGGAGTTGCAGCTGTGTAGCTAGCTAGCTGCAGCCTGCAGGCCTGCAGGCTAAGCTCAATACGACACGATAGTAAATACATATACATGGCCAACGTAAATGCCGATTTTTATAATAAATAAACACTATTACGTTTTTTGGGGTTAAAATATAGTGAATGAAATTTGACAATTGCACTTGTAGAATCAGTTCACATATAAACCTCAAGACCGGCGGGGATTTTACTATGGAGGTTGACCCAAATGTATATTAACAAATACATTCCATTGATCATTAAATTGTTCGGATTGTTCGAATTGACGAGTAATAAACACATACTTAATCTCATCCCGATCGGGCTATTGGTTCAAAATTACAGATATTTTGGTTTTTACCAGAGTTGAGTCAAACTAGCCAAACATGAGCAAAAGACATGACGTCCGGACATGTCGTCATAGCGAAGTAGTTTCCGTCGGCCTTAACATGTCGTCATAGCGAAAAGTGCTGTCGTATACCAGCCCAGCAAATCAGTGACCTACTCTCTGTCTCTATAAGAGTAAATGTCTCTCCAAGTATTTGTGCACTGTACTCTCTCTCTCTCCTCTCGCTCTAGTTACTCTAGTAGAGAGAGAGAGAGAGAAAGTTAGGCACTCATTCTGCAAGACTGAAATCTCACTGAAATCTGACCACCTGTCTGAGCCTCTGAGGCTGTCAGGCGCAGGCTGTCACTATGACCGTGCAAGACTCACTCAAGACTACAATGCCCCATGAAATTTGTTTTCGTCACAAGTTGTAGGGTAGTTGAAAGTGTCACAAGCGTTGTGCAATTATAGCCTTTATCCACGATGATCAGTTCCACTTCTCTGACAGTGGTGGCGGTGGCCATATCTACTTGTGTGGTGTACCGCTGTATTTTTGTACGTAAAGAAGACCCTGTGATGGAAGCAAAAAGGTGTTCGAACGATCTAATGGGCTCAGACGATACCAGTGCACATACATTCAAACGTCTGGGTGGCAATAATACCAACTATAAGGTCACGAATACAGTCACAGATGAAGCATACTTTTAAAGATTAGAGAAGGATCGTCACCTAATTTACTTGTGGGATGGATCTTTGACCGGAAGCAACTGGAACGTCAATTCAACGGGGATCATTTTGCTTGGACACAGGTGTGCACGCGGTTGCTAGGGAAATGTGAGTTGGGAGCAAAGTATACAGCAGGTGACGTGAAGGCCATGGTGACTGAGTTTGTGACTGGCATAGAGTTGGTAATGAAGAGGGATTCGATCCCGAATGGACTAAAAACGAAGCCGCCATGCGAAAGTTTGGGCGGTATTTAGCGCGGATAAACAAGTGTATATATTCGTATTGAGTTTCATATCTATATGTATATATGTATGTATATATATATGTATATATATATATATATATATATATATATATATATATATATATATATATATATATATATATATATATATATATATATATATATATATATATATATATATATATATA